TAGCTAGGGGAGATATTTCCATAATATTATGAGGAATATAAGGTTTATTCTAGTATTAAAGGACAGGAGGAAATTTCTGTTTGCATTTCTTTCAGCTATAAAGAACTCTATATTAATAATATGAACCTGAAAAGCAGGAAGAGTATCTTCAGGAGACAGGAAATTGCAAAGTGAAGCTCTCGCTGCTCTAGTTTGGCACAGTGAGATTAATAACAAACAAAAATGTAGTTTTGTATTAAAGATGTTTATCATAGACTAAATAAGTCAAAGCTCAGAGTTCTGTCAAGCAGTGCCTAACAGTGACTTAAAGGGCATAAAAATTTTAAAAACAGACTGACATCTTGAATGGCAGCTTTTAGCCATTTTCTTAGTATTGAAGTTGCCACAGTTAATTCTCAAAGCCTAAGTCAGTCTCATAGACTCAGTGCAGGTTAACTGTGACAGCTAAAAGCTCCAAGCTTCCCTTGTGGATCTCAGATGCTGCAACTGTTTCAAAGCTGAATTTTCCAGTTCCTCTGAAAGGGATGCAATCCTGCTGAAACTGAAGGTGGACAGGAGCCAGATTCCAGCCTGCAGTGCCACTCTGTCACCTGTTGCAGTACAGCAGTCACAAAGAACAAGTATAGCATCTATCCTGCTGCACATCATAGGATGCTACCTAGCCCTGCTAATGGGGACAGCTTTTCCTACAGCCTCCCTCTGTTTCTGAATGCAGGGAAATGTTTTGAAATAGTTCTTCATGTTCTCCCAGATGTCTGTAACAATGTCTGCCAAATATGTTCTGCTGAATTCAGGGTCTCCAGCAGCCACCCTATGGACTGGTTAACTAACTCAGGTAATGCATAAGAACTCAAAATTCTGGAATATATTAAAAATTGACATGAAAACAATTTAGAATTCTTTCAACGTGCCTTAAAAGTACTGTATATGCTAGACTTTTGTTTTTGATAATCTCTTCAGTGACGATTTTATCAAAAAAAGTCTTTCTCTGCCACAACTGGGGGGAGGAGTTGTTGTCACTTACCTTGTAACCACTAAGAAATGCAGGTTTATGCTTGATAAGATTGTTTACAGTTCTGCTGTTCACATAACAGCTGCAGCAACAGGCAGAACCAGAATGAGAGCTCTTACTTCATCCCCTAATTGGCAAGCTTCTACCTCTTGAAGCCAATTGGTAAGCCATACCTCTTGAAATATTCTGGATTTTCATGCTTTTCTTGTCTAGTTTTGGTGTTTACATATTAAACTGAGTTGTCAAATGTTTGTTATAGCTCTTTGGGAGGAGAATACATAATGAAGTTGCAAAGGTTGCTTACAGGTAACTCCATGAAAATGTTTTTCTTGATATTGTTTTCTTGATATATTCCTGCCCATGACCTTCTATTTTCAGTATTTCTTTACATCAGAGTTGTGAAAGGGTGGACATGTCCTAATTTTATCAGTAACAAGCTAAGAAAGGAACATATGTGTAATTGAAATTGTAAAGTTTATTCTGTAAAGGCCTAAGATATAAACACATTCACAAGGGATTTGCATATAAGGCTTAATTCTGCTCTGCCTCTCTGTGTGTTGCTTCTTCCATCTGCTCCTTTATGTCTTTTGGCTATGTGTCCAGACCTACTTGTTAGTACTATCTACCCTTATTTTCTTTGTTCTTTCACCCTTTGATCATTTCCCATGGTTGTATGTCTAGAAATGTTTATTCTTTTCCTCCTATTTTTAGTTTATAAACAAACAGCTAAACAAAGATAATAAGAGTATTCTTCAGAATCTTCACAGGTTTTTTCACAGTTAAGGCCCTAATAACACGTTTTCAGTAATCATATTTTGGCCATAATTAAAAAAAGTTTTGAAAATCTACTGTAAATTCATTCATTCTACAACAGTTCATACTGTAAAAAACCCACTGTAAACATTCAGTAAGTACACATATCTCCATAGCAAAATCTTTAGCAGCTTCATTTCTGTCATGCCCAAAGAACCTCATTAATTCTAGTTTCTATTAATTCTCTGAGTTCACAGATCCGTAAATTTGTCTCATTTGTAGAAAAGATTAAAAAAATTACTACATTTTATGCTAATGAAAAAACCTTACATGGAGAAGAGTAGCTATGTGGATTGGGCAGGTGGCTGCTGATAGCAGCACTGCCCTTCAGATGGTACTCCAGCTAAATTTATCTATTTTTTATTTACTTACTATTATTTACTGTTATTAGCAAGACACAACACTTCATTATACTTCTTAAGCAAGCCCTATAGAATTGCTGGAAGAGAAGAATACCAAAATGAAGACTTTACAAAATGCAGTCATTCAACCTTGATGGGAAGAACAAACATTTCCTGCTTAAGTTTTTCAGCACAATGACAGAGGAATTTTTTTTTACTGTCTTGTTCATGTTGACGTTTTTCGAATCATTAAACTTCTGTCTGTAATGCAGTGAGAGTAATCTCTTGTACTGCAGTGGTCTGATAAAGAATATTTTAAAAATACAGAAAACTCTGTAATAGAAACCCAAATAGTCCAAAAGGTAAAAGAAACCAGTACTCAAACAGCAGTGGCTAGAATTGATCTGTGGTTCTAGCTGTAATCCAAATAGCTTCAGATCTACAGAGCCCAGTTCTGTGTTGTTAATGAAACAGAGTTTTATCAGTAACATGGTGGTAAGTGAGTCAGACTGCATTACCTTTGGGCAAACGTGGGCTTCAGGAGGGGTTCTTGACCACCTCCAAGCAAGAAGAATCTTCAAATATTGAAAAGTGATTGTGGGTACAAATCAAGAGCATCTAATTCCAAAGTTCAGATGAAACATTAAACTTTCTCAATAATTGTATGACATGTTGATGAGTAATTGAAAAGCAAATCTATTTAGGGACTTTGTCCATTATGAAAATTTCCTATGTATTTTACAAAAATATATTTTTTTTACTTCACATACATTTGTACAAGTCTGTATATGCTGTTCGAATTCACTCCTTTTTATTGTTTATTTTAAGGCACTGTGAATAGGAACTATTTTTTTCCAGCACACCTCGATCTTCTTACACAGGCACCACTTACGAGGCAAATGTATCCTGAAGGGGCTCCCTGTCACTTTGTAAACCTGGTCTTCTGTTCTTTCAGGCACATTGTCTACTGTAGCAATAGTTCTTCCAAGAACAGTTCCTTAATCCATCAAAAGCAAACAGACTTGGCTTCATATAAGAAAGGACTGATCACAAGATAATCTTCAATTGCTTTAGTACTTGGCCAGATATTAATTAGTGATTAATTTATAGAAGCCTTCTTAATACTAGATTCCTAAGTTATTAATTGCCCTATCAGTTCTAATGCAAGTGCACTGAAAGGATTCACTTTAAAAGCAGTTCATCTTGGACACAAAAATCCAGGGGTAGATATCCCTGGATTCATCTGAGACCTAGAAGTGTCAGTGATCACATTGTAGAAAAGTAATGTACCAAATGGAAATGTCTTCCTACTTGGTTGGTAAGAGTCCCTCAGGTACCCCTAGGCATATTTCATTATGCCCAAGTCTCTCTTAAAAGCAAATTTTATGCTTCCTTTAATAATTTCTATTATAGGAATGGCAGAACTCTTGCTGTATATTTGACAGAAGAAGCAAGAAAGAAGCAAGAAGAAAGCAACAAGCTCCTTCTCATTTGTGAGGCTGTGAAAGCAAAATATTAATAATAACTTCAGCAGCACTGGAAGGGGGGTGGCAGAAGGCTGTGTTGTTCCTGGTTCCTGCTCTGTTTTCCTCCTACTCCACAGACAGCGCGGGCATCGCAGGGTGGGCTGGAGGCGCTGGGAAGACACAGCCTGCTCCGGCACACAGCGGTGGGGAAGGAGCAGCACCTCACAGCACAGCGAGGATGGACAGCACGAGTACCGAACTGCCGGAAATCTGCTTTCCGGCATCCCATTTTCCCTCCCCTAGAGTGTAATCAAAATCCTGTTAAAAGGGCGGTTTAAGCCACACCAGCTTAATCGCACCCACTTATCCAGCCCAGGCCCCTTATGCAGCCCTGCCCAAACCGCTCCACCTTACTGCCCCTTCCTTCACCTGTACGTGCTCCCGTCCCTGACCCTGCTCCTGTCCCCGATCCCGCTCCCGTCCCTGACCCCGCTCCCGTCCCCGATCCCCCTGTCATCCCCGCTCCCGCTCCCGTCCCCGCTCCCGCGGCCCCGCCCCGCAGCCCCTCAGGCGGGCGGCGCGCACGAAGATGGCGGGGCCGGGCGGCAGCGGCGCTGGAGGCCGCGGCGTTGTGGTAAATGGGGAGCGGGGCCCGGCCTGGCGCTCGTCCCTGCCCTGCGCGGTTCCCGCACCACTTTGTGCTGACCCCCTGCGCCCTTCCCTTCCTTTCCCTTTCTTTCCCTCCCCTTCCCCCTCTTGGGCTGCGTCCCCTCACCCAACTCCACTCCCGCCGGCCCCGGCCCCGGTGCGGCTGCCGGAGGGGCACGGCCGTGTTGGGCTCCCCGGGCTGCACCGCGCCCGTGGCTTCTTCCCCCGTGGAAATGCGGTCCTGGATCACCGCGAGCGGCTCCTGTGGCCGGGGCTGTTCTTCACCGGGTTCCTCGGGTAATGGAGATGAGGATCCTCAGGGATTCCGAGGTGTCTGGCTCCCACCGGAACGCTCAGACGTCTCTGGGGATTTGTGGGCTCCCTGAAGGCAGGCTGGGATGGGAAATAGCCCGAACTTTGGCAGTGTGTTTGGAGTGCCTGTGGGGATGGATCAGTGATGTAAAAAATGAATGAATGTGCTCCTTGTTCTGAGAGACAAACCAGATTCTCCCGTGAAGCAAATTCCATCACTGCCACCACCTTAGGTATGTTCTTATTTTGTTGTGGCATTGGGATTTTAGCAGAAAATCACCAGGACAGCTGCCCAGATCATGGTCCAGAGCCCTCTGTGTAGGCAGTGGTGACACTGTGTCCATGCCACCGTCCCGTCCATCCTGCTTCCTAAGGACCTGTCTTTCTGTGTTTAAGGTCTCTGTGAAACTGCCACACACCAACCACCTCTCCTGACACCTGTAATGACATTCTTAAAGCAAGTGATTGTGTTTATCACCAAAGCAACACGAGGATATTGCAAAGGAGGACATGAGTGTGCATAACCATGTTCTGCTGTACTGATTTAATTTCTTCTGCTCAACCCCCCCAATCAACAGCAAGGCCAGTCCTGTATCATTTAAGTTACAAAAGCTGGACTTTGCTTGATGCTCACTTTGAGGTGAGGACTGTGCTCATATCTCACCTGTACTCACTTTACCAGACAACAAAATTAGTGGTGTCCTTCCAAAGCCATTGCAACTGAATGTCTCCAGCTTATCTCTTACACCTCAAGGGAACACTTTTCGGTATTACCATGTATTTGTATTCCTTCTTGTATCCATTCACATCCACTTTTAAAAGACCTACTGAATAATTTCTCCTGGGCTATTTGAACATGCCAAGCCTGAACTTTAAAAGTAGGTCTTTCTTTCACTATAGGAATTTTTTTATATGCAAGTATACAGATGTATTTAGTATATATATTTACTCATCGAGTTGAATATGATCTTTTTATGAAACAACCACAATTGTTTCCTTCATATTTTCAAGGACTAAAGCCAGAACTAAATAGAAGTTGAGTTCAATCTGTATTTTTTGAATATTTTTTTATGTTAAGCTATTCAATTCAGGATAATTGCACCTTGGTTTTTTTTTTTATTTTTAATTCACAGACAGGATAGTCATAAGAATTTACAGTTACTTGAAACTTGTCCTATAGCGTAGCACTGTGAATAGCTTTGGGGTAAATGAGAATTTCTAAGCCTTGTTGTTGGTAAGTGCCTGTTTAAAAGAAAGAAGAATATGAAATAGGCTTATCATATCAGAAAAATAATTAATTTGAAAGCACATGTGAATTTCATCTATTTTGTCAAATACCAGCAAGGACTTGTAAATGAGAATTTCTATAGTATTGAAAAGTGATGCAGTTTATTTTCTTCTATTCAAGAGAACCAGAAGGATAAATGGGAAAATCAAAATTTCATCCTGATCCTCTTTATGAAAGGATTTATTGTAACCTAAGTAAAAGCTATTGATTTGTATGAATTCTGAAGCAATTTCCATCCACTTAGTTTGTTGTTCTGCATCACACTAAAAACGTGCAATGTGATGAGAATGCAGAAATAAAGCAACACTGACAGGGGTTTGTAGTGGGTGTTTATAATACTCAGGCAATTTAAGGTTATCTGAAATTGTTTCAGTGTACGTTAAAATGCTTATGAACAAAACCATTCCAGGCATTTCATTGCTACAAAATGCTTAAAAAGTTTCAGCCATCCTTATGTACTGAAAAAGTAGATGGGAAAAATGGGCTTCCCAGCTCTTCTGCAGCACTGTTTTTGGAGCAAGATTTGCCTCTATTTAAAAACCTCACCAAGGAGGATATTTATAATCTCCTGTTTCTATGGAAATGGGGAACACAACTAAGTAACTTTTTTTCTTTTGTATAGTTTCAAGGCTGGTGTAAGTCAGGGGAAAAGCTTTCATTGATTCCAGTGATCTCCCAGTCATGCCCTTTTGTGGGCAAGTGTTCAGTAGTAGTTGCCAATGAATAACTTTTTTTGATACAGAAATTGTTGGGTAGTGTTAAAAAAACTCGACAGTCGAGGTGTCTGTAGCTGTCAGTGAATATGCAAAAAAAGTCCCCAAGGAAACCAAAATCCCTGAGGCAGAACGCTTTTGGTACAGCATGAGGCAGGGCTGCGTCTGAGTCCAAGAATACAGGCCGTGGAAGAACAGCTCAACATCAAATATGCTGTGAGCCAAATATTTGTGAGAAGCAGCTTATCACTCTACTGTATAAAATTGTGAGCAGAGGTTGGTTTCAGTGATGGTCCTTTAAAGGCTGTATGTGGCAAAAATACCATTAAGACATGCACTTGGCAAAAGTGCAAAAGTTTGTCACCGTTTTTCCTTTCACAAGCCAAGCTGTAGAAAGACAATATGTGACTTAAAGAATATGATTGTAAAGAAAACCTAGTAGGTGTCACTTTTTACCCCAAATCATATTGAAGCAAAGCTTTGTAATGATTTCAAGATAACCTTGTGAACCTGCAGGTCTTGTCTTTTACAAGGAATTGGGAAAATGGTTGGTTTGGAGTTTGTTTAGTTTTTGTGCTGGTGGCTTTGCATCTTCACAGCTTTCTGAAGCCTTCATCTGTTGGCTGAGTTTTGCCTTTCCTAACCTCTACTGGCTTTGTATGCTGTGAGATCTCCTAATTGTTGTATTCTAACACCAATGAAACCAATGTATGTTAAATCTGTAAAATATTTTTTTCTGTAAATGTATGGATTTAAAGACTAGCTGATAGTGAGGTGAGATGCAAACATTCTGTAATCACTTACCTTTGATAACGTATAAATTAAGGACCTCGCCTCTGGCAAGAAGTACAGTCTTCCACTGATTTGCACAGATATCATCCATGAACCTCGTAATTTATTCTCCCTATGTGTTGTTTCATCTGTAGAATTCTTATTTCTTTATTCATGTATGGCTTTTAAATAACTCTAAACTAGAAATGTGCAATTATAATGTAGGATTTTATGACTTTTGATCCCACTGTCTGAATCTCCCACTGGAGAATCCCTTCTTACTGTCAATCTTATATTTGCATTCTGAGTTTGAAGTAGTAAGAAACTCATTCTTGCCACTAAATCAGTTTCAAATGTTTTCTTTCTCTATCTAACTGTTTGTAATTTCTGGTGAAATTTCCCACATTCTCTGGGGGAAAAAATGTAGCATTTGATTTCTGAGATATACCAAGAAACAAAATAATTAATAGGAAAAGCAAAATAGTAAATTATAACTGGAAGAAAACATGGCATACAATTAATTCAGCCAACAGAGTGTACTAGAATGCTGATTTTATATCAGTTATATAGTGTCAGACACTATGAAACATTTTTAACAGTACTATTTGATATTCAGATTTCAGACAATTGGCCCGGATACAGTCTGGATTTGTTCACTTATCCTCAGCACTACTATGGAGATCTGGAATATGTGCTCATACCTCACGGCATTATTGTTGACAGGTATGTGTAGTTTGAGTGTTACTAAATAGATTCTTTGTTCAGTAGTATTATTCTTTTTTTTATAAAGGCTGTCATCCACAGACAGTGCGTGTATAACATTTGTCCTAAAATACTATATTGGCATTTATAAAATGATTTAATTTGGAAAGTAAAATAAAATAAAATATTTGAAGGTTGTAGTTGCCTTTGCAACTCCCTGTCTAATTTCTTTCACCTAACTTCTGATTTGGGCATTGAATGAGACAAGAGGTCCCACAGGAAAAGAGAGTCTTATCATATAGAGAAATTGACTTTGGAATGTAGATGAAAAGACAGCTGAACTGAAGGTGAAAGGGCAAGTAATATCTTTGCATATACGTATGTCTGAATGTCTCACTTGCACTCTAACCATCCTGTGGTTTTAATTAAAAAACAGAAAAAGGAGAAAAAGCTACATTCCATTAGGTACAAATTTGGCAACTCCCTAGCACGAATCATAGAATCATAGAAATAACTGGGTTAGAAGAGACCTCCAAGATCATCAAGTCCAACCCTTGATCCAAGCCTACTGTGATTACTAGATCATGGCATTCAGTGCCACATCCAGCCTCATCTTAAAAACCTCCAGGGACAGTGAATTCACCACCTCTCTGGGCAGGCCATTCTAATACCTGATCACTCTCTCTGTAAAGAACTTCTTTCTAATATCCAACCTAAACCTCCCCTGGTAAAGCTTAAGCTGTTCTCTTCAGCAGAGAACGTGGCTCATCTACTGGTCTTTGAATCATTAATGCAAATTAACCTGATGGTTCTTGACTGTATGTTGAGTTCTGCCATTCAGCACAACTAAAAAGTGTTGTGGACTGTTCGGGTCCAGATGTTAAGTTTGGAGAGTGTCAGTGGGAAAGTTTGATCATCCTTCATTCCCTACTTTTTGGCAGTTCCCATATGCACTCAGTGTAGGCATCTGGTGTGCTTCGGTATTTGTGGTAGGTCAGCTCAGTGTTCATACTCAGTTACTATTTTGGTGTCCTGTTAAAAAACTTATGAAAAGGTTACAAAATGGAAATGGTAATTTTCAACAGTGTCTTTATTGGGAATATCTGAATGGAATTTCATGGGACATTCGGCCTGCAGCTTTCTACCTACCACATTTCAGCAGCTGGTTGCAAATACAAGGAATTGGAATTCCTTGAAAGAAGATTGTAAACATCCATCACAAGGAATAGCTATTACTCCTGTTTTTGTTTTTGAACACAAAATTTCTTTAATTTCCTGTTCAGTTACCATTGTGTTGAATTTCTAATCTTTTTTGGTTTGAGTCAACTGAATTTTAATTCCTCTTTTTTTAAAATAAACATATTGCAACTTCAGCTGTCGTAGAATTAAATATAACTGTCTTTGAAGTAAGCATTGAACTCCAGTGTTGCTTTTGTACTCCAGCAGAATGAGCTCCACTTCTTACTCCAGCAAAAAAAGGCTGATTCTATTCTAATGGAAAAGAACATAGAACTTAATATGCTGTGATCAGGCAAGATTTTCATGTAGGAAGAAGGCTCAGCACTTGAGAAAATTCTCTTGTCAGTTGGCAGCAATTAAATATAAGTTTAAAATGTCTATATTTTTATTTAGAAATTGAAAATAATACATTTTTGTCTGTGCTGGAGTTCATACACTTTTAAAATTCAAAGTGATCTTTGGAATACTTGGTAATTTCAGCTCCTCAGACAATCTGAGGAACAATATAAAAATGAAAATCATCAGAGAAATGTTTCTTCTTAATGAGAGGTTTTCCCCATGATTCTCAGACTTGATAAAAGATGATAAAAGACTATTAATCTTCAGTAAAGTAAGTGAAAGTCTTTTATTATTTCTCATTCTTACAACAATAAAAGTAATTATATATTTGAGATCAAACAAGATGATGTAATGATATCTCCTATTTCTCAAATAAAAACCTACTAATTGCTGCTGTATGGAATTTACTAGAGCGTTACCAATACAAAGATGTGAAAATGAAGCAACAGCTTTGCTCCTAACTAGTATATTATCTTCAGTTTAGAGCTTATTCTATTCTAGTACGTGCACAGATTTCACTGAAGTTCAATCAATGCATTTATGTAGTCGCAGATTGATTTCTGTATTAGAGTCAGCAGAGAAAGAAAAAAATCAACAAAACCGTATAAATTTAATAATGAAAGAGATGGGATAAATTTTAGGATTATTTAATAAATTTCTTCCTGTCAAGAAGTCCACTCTTATTGAAACTGCTAATGTAATTCAGAGAGCTATCAGAGAATTTTCCAGCATAAGTGTTTATGGAATATAATGCATTGAGCTGTTTCTCCTCAAAACTTCAAATGACATTAAGTTTTCTGTTGATATCTGCTTTACATCTAGAAATTACCTGGTACTCTATTTTACATCTAGAAATGCCGTCTCTGATGTTCTTCAGCAAAGCTACTTAAGATGAATATCTATTATTTTTACTTATTAGTAAGATTCATATTTATTATTTTTATCTTGAAAATATATGTAGCATTTTATGGCAGAAATGAGTAGCTTTTGTTTCCAATCATCTGCCATATTGTGTTTGCAATGCAGAATTGTCAAAGGGAAGACAGGTTTGGGAACCCTGTGGTTCTGAGTTCATTGGAGCATAAGCTCAATTATTTGCGCGTGTGTGAACCTTGAACAAGTCACTTAAGCTCTTTGCACCCTTCGTTTTTGTAGGATAAAATAGTCATCTGTATGAAATAGTGATAATGTGCACTCTTTATAAGCTTTTGACTGATGCTCTACTTCTTTCTAGCATTTGTGTGTATTTTTATTAAAATTGTAGAGGTAGCATCTTCCAAAGCCAATCAGTGTGAAATATTTCCAGTAATTTTCTTTTCTGTCTTTCACTTAATTTGTTGTACTTGTGCAGCAAATAACAAGTTAGGGGATTGTTCAGGAATATTTTATACTGATGTTTCCTGTGAGGTAAAATGGAAGGCTAAATTATATTCTTTTCTCCAAAGTCTCTGAAATGCTTATGAGTCAAACATATGCTGAGATGGGTTGCTCCCTTTTGCTTAGCTGGGGAATTTATGCATTTAAGGTTAACCAGTTTGATTCACATGCTTTGCATCATGCATCCATCACTCAGTATCTGCCTTCTGTGAGCTGAATCCAAACCTAATCAAGCATTGGAATGGACTGCCCAGGAAGATGGTGGAGTCACCATCCCTGGAGGTGTTCACAAAACAACTGGATGTGGCACTTATTGCCATGGTCTAGTTGACAAGGAGGTGATCAAAGGTTGAATTCAATAGTTTTTGAAGTCTTTTCCAACCTAAATGATTGTATGATTCTGTGAAGTCAAGACACTTAAACAGAGTATCAGTCAAGCTTTATACTCGCTGTAGTGTTTGTAAACACGTGGAAAGCCTACCATGAACTTAGAGCATCTGCATCTAATGTTATTTTATCCTTAATTTTTTTTTTGGCCCAGGACAGAACGACTGGCCAAAGATATTGTGCAAGACATTGGAGACAATGATATTGTGGTTCTCTGTGTCCTCAAAGGTGGCTACAAGTTCTGTGCTGATCTTGTGGAGCACATTAAAAATCTCAGCAGAAATTCAGAAAGGTTCATCTCCATGAAAGTTGATTTTGTTCGACTGAAAAGTTACCACGTAAGTCAATACCTGTTTTATGTAGATTATGTTAGAATGTCATAATAAATAGTGGATTTTTGTACCCGAGACTCCTCCCTTCAGTTAAAAGGAAAACAATGTGAAAAATATTTTTGTTTGAAAAACTTGTGAGGTTTTCTTTAAAAATAATTGTTCATATCCTAGTATGAATGAGGATATGAACATCTTTGGGCTGTATTGTTTTGTTTAGTCTGTCTTTAGTTCTGGACAGAAAATTATTCAAATTTCCTTCATGTTAAATGTCAGCATGTTGTTTGTTCTAAAAATCCTTTGCAGTTCTGTCAAGTTAATTTCATTTTACTTCATTTTCCACCCCCACATAGTTTGGCATAACTGTAAGATGATAAATCTATGTCTTCTTCTAAATGTTTAATGCTAAGTAAATGAAGTGCTTTCATCTTCATAACATGCAGTTTACATAGTAGCAAAATATACCACCAGATGATGATAGTGTTCTATAAGAAGATGAAACAAGCCATTGAATCAAATCCAGTGTTGAAGTAAGCATCAAGACCTTCTGTTATCTTCAGAGGAAATTATGCAATAATTCATTTGTATCAGTGAGGATATGATAGTGAGATGACCAGCCTTTAATTACACATTTCTTATTGTTATAAGCTATAAATTTATATTCTACCTTCTAGTGCACATTCCATAGTGAGGGAGCATTTCTAGAAGCAAGTTGTCCTAGAAATGTCTGAGGAAGTACACTGAAAAAATGGAGTATCTTGCAGGAATCCAACTTGCTGAGTCCAGCAGTTCCCATAATAACTCTACATCCTTTCCACAGGCAGAGGTTCATTGGTTGGCAGTTTGCTCTGACACAAGAGACCATAAACTTTTCCTAACTTATCAAGTCTAAATTTTTTCCTTTATGGAAGAAAAGTGAACAAGAGCCTTTATTAGCCATTTGGTTAGGCTTTGGTCCTGGGAGTCCTCTTTCAGTAATTAGCTATGTCTATGGAGAGCACTAATATTATATATTTTATATATATATATATATATATTTTCTAGAGCAATACTAATATTATATATTTTCTAGGTATTCAGCAGTATTACAGAACTAATTAATAAAGTGAATGATAATTTTTGTCTCACATAATGGCACATGGAAATTATATGCAATTTTTTTTTTGTAATTATGAGAGCACTTCAGTAATACTCCTTGTCAAATAGTGGAAGTACTTAAATGGGGTTTTATTTTGCATCTGGCATGTAGATAATGCACGTGCTTTTCCTATAGGGTTATCTCTTATACAGTATGAAGATATGAAGGTTCTAAAATTTCTTTCCTTGGTGACAAATCAACTCTTATTAGCCATACTAACTCATAACCAACGAGTGGCACGAGATGTATACTGCAGGAGTGTGGAAATCTTCACATCTTTAGCTTAGGAAATAAAAGTATGTTATATCAAGCTTCAACTGCATCCAAATTTTGTTATGTAAGGGTGATGATATCAATACTGAGTCCTAGACAATCCTAACCAAATCCTAGACAAATTTAGTGGCTGTGCATGTTTCAGATCTTAGTCTCATGCTTTATCAGAAAGGTATCACCTTCCCCAGAACTAGTGCTTGCATCTAGTGTTTAGAAAATAAATCCTTTCTCCTTGTATGTGCTTCCAAGCAGGTGTCATGTATTTAGAGTCTGAAGTGTCCTGAATTCAGTACTGGGAGCAGTGCTTGATGTGTGTCTGGTCTTGAGAAGCTGAATGATACTTCAGTCATTTGAAATGACAATAGGATTGATAGATTCATTCCATGAGATATGCAGAAATGTAATGCTGAGTAAAGTACCAGTACCTCTACCTGCCATCCTTTGCATCTTGAGTTATTGTTGTTTCCTGTGCAATTGCAGGTTTTAGAGAATGTTCCCTTGTAAGTGTAGCTGGGGTCAGAACACTTAAGGAACTCGCTGTAACTAGTCTGAGTGACTCTTTATCCCAGCCTTATATGAAACTCCCAAATCTCCCATGTTAGTCTATTCTGTAATAACATATCTCTCACAGTGTTTTACACTTTAATCAGAGGCAATAATTACAATTTTGGAGGTAAGACTCTACTTGAAGACTTGGAGCATCACCAGTTCCACTCCTTTTCTTCGTTTGGCCTTTTCTGTTCCACTTTCTAGTAAGACTTATTGCTGGTATCTCTTTTTATCCCTTTTTCATTTTATAGACACTGTTCTTCTCACATTATTTATCCTGCTCCCTTTTACTAACTGTTCTCTGTTTCTCTCCTAAAGGGAGTCCTGCTGCTCTCAATATACTTCCTTCAGACATCTTCCTTCCCCCCTCCAGCTGTTTAAATGCAACAACTAATTTCAGCTCAAACTCATGGGATTTTTAAATTGTCTCATTCCAACTTCAATACTGAAAGGTTAGTTGATTTTTAGGAGTTGTAATTTAAAGTGGGATTTCTTGGTTTAATCATATAGCAAAAGTGGGCTGTAATTGTGACCCAAAGTCAGATCTTGGCATCAGTGAAAGTACATCTTAATTGCAAAGTGTCAGTGAAAAATATTGTACTTTGATGTTTTGCATACAGACATGATTACAGGAAAAGGAGATTGTAAATATGACAAGCTTTATAGGGCTCTTTGTTTTTCAAACCTGTCAAAATATTCCAGAATTTAGACTTTAGCATTTATACTTAATTAGTATGTTAGGATCTGCTTTCTTATTAAGTAGTTGAAACCTGGGCATGTGTCCTCTTTGTTAGACTTCTTCATGCAAATGAATTGATAAAAAAAAATAAAGGCAAAGTACCTTTAGATTCTCTGGATATTAATGAGGTGAGTGACTATTTTTACTTCCATAACCAGGATGGTTTTATCTGGTTTACTAAGTATTGTCATATCTGCCTGAACATTTTTGTGAGAAACTTTTGTGTATTTTACAAGGGGCAGATTAAAAGAAAGCACCAAAGTGAGAGTTAGAAAATATTACTTCAGAAGTAAACAGATAGGAAGCATCGTGTAGACTTAAGGGTAAGAGTCAGGAAGTAGATGTAGAGGAAAATAAAATCCAGTGATGGGAAATTGAATGAGAAGCAGCAGTTCTGAGTTTTAAGAGGCAGAGAAAACATACAATTTTTTGAATGAACTCAAGAGTAGTGTGGCAAGAATTACAGAGGATAGACAAAAAAGCACTAGAATAGTCCTCATGTGAAATATGGTGAATGTATGGAAAGATGCATGCTAAGTTTTAGGGGAAACACTGATGTGAGAACTGATAGAATTTGGCAGCCTTTTAGATATTAAGGAACAGTGGAATTGACCGTAGAGATTTTTGAGTTTAAAACTGGATAAAAATTAAAATTTACTGTATTCAATTTTCACCATACTAAATTTTTTTCTGAGTGATTGTTCCTCTGTGGGAAATCAGGGTTCTGAAGTTAAAAAGGGGTGAGAGTTTCAGATTGGTAGAAGAAGTAAAATCATTTTCAGAAGCATGGTGGGTTGAAGTCAAGGATGAAAAGTAAATAGAGGAAGAGGTTGAGTTTGGGAATGTCATCTAAGGAGAATATGACACCAGCAGGAGAGGTAAGAAACACAGATCCAGAAATTCTGTAATACATTTGTGATACTGTGAGAACTGTAGCAGAAGAGTAGACTGTTCATAAACAGTAATTAGAGCTTCTCTTTGCTCAGTGTAGAAAAGACAATTTAGGACAGGTTGATGAAGGTAAAGGCTGAATTACAGCTTGAAACAGAGGAGGATATTCTGGTTTATCAAGTCTAATCCCCTACTAAGAGATGCATCATTATCACCTAATCCTATTCCTTGGCTATGCCAAATGTGATCTTGAAGTCAAACCTCAGTTTTGAGATGGAATTGAAAAAGTTAGGTGAAGAAGTAGAGGAAGTACACAGAGTCTGTAGACTTCTTGAGAAGTTCTCAGCAACCTCTCAATAGAAGAGAAAGTAAATGCATGTGAATTAAAACTTCTTTAGTGGACAGATGATGGAAGCTAGAAATTGAAAGAATCATAAAGAGTTGTTTAAACTGGTGGTGGGGACTGGTGGAAGAGAGAAGAAACAGGCAGACCATGCATTGCTACCTGTTCTTACTATATTTTATAAAGTAAGTATGATAGTTAAGCTCACATCTTGTGGAAGGGCAAGTGAATCTTGGTAACATAACCTTTTTTCACTGAAAACCGTGGAAAAGTGAAGTGGGAATGAGACTTGTACTTTTCCTGAACTCTTTTGTGATTTGCTTATATATGCAGACTAAAGTGTCAGAAGACCAGCCATCTCTGTTATTTTGAAATAACATTGTTATAACAAACTCTGTTATTTTGAATAACTTTGGTACCCTACCTGGAGTACTGCATTCAACTCTGGAGTCCTCAGTACAGGAAGGACGTGGATCTGTTGGAGGAAATCCAGAGGAGGGCTATGAAGATGATCACAGGTCTCTTCTCCAGAGGAGAAGAAACCTTGGGGAGACATTGGAGCAGTCTTCCAGTACCTAAGAGCCCTACAAGAAAGGTGGAGAGGGACATTTACATGGGCATGGAATGATAGGACAAGGGAGAATGGCTTTGACCTGAAAGAGGGTAGGTTTAAACTAGATATAAAGAAGAATTTTTTTATGATGAATTTGGTAAGGCACTGGAACAGGTTACCCAGAGAGGTGGTAGATGCCCCAAATATGTATGAACTTAAGAGAATGTTGCTTGCTAGTCACTTGGAAGGAACTTCTAGAGGATTATGTGGATTTGGTCAATTCATGTAACTCTTTAAAATTAGTACATTATTTATGGTTTCCAGAACATAATTAATAATAAAAAAAGTAAAAATATGACCTCTGAATTGTAATCCATGCACAATGGTTGCATTGAATTCTGCTCACAAACAAATCCATTGATATGATCTGTTTCCTCTTCAGCCTCCAGTTGTTCGAAACATATTTACAACTGTTGGTTATTAGTCTTGGCATAAACAGGACCATTAGTGCTGCAAAAATCTG